AGGGGCGAGGTTGTGGTTAGAACGCTTGGTTGAGTGCATCAGACGAGACGATGAAGAAGTTCATCAAAGCCGGAACTAATCGAGCCGTTTGTGCCAGGATGGGGAGAAAGGTATTTTAATAATGTAAATTATGTGAAAAATAATGCGTTTTTCGAACCACCAAGCATGAGAGCATGTTCTTGTACACCCCCAAAACAAAATCAAGACTTTGTAAAAGAGCATAATAGGACCCCTTTAATACATCCTTGATGAAAGAAGTATTCATTTCTTTCAAAAAAAAGATCTAGCTGATCTCAAACTTTTGAACAGTGGTGTAAATAGTGAAAGATATTATGTTTCAGAGAGTATCTCATATTTTTTTTGTACTAAATTGACAAACTGTTTTCTTTTTAAGCATAAAACCCGCAAATTTTTCTTAGATTCAGAACAGAAAAATAAGTAATTTTAAGGAAAACAAGCATTAAAATCCTAAGCAATTCTGATGTTTAGATATATTCTACTGGAAAACAAGACAAAAATGTAGTGTATAAATGGAGGACTTGTAATGACAAAACTTAAATAAGAACAATGAAACTGAAAGGCATCGAACAGGAAGTGTATCCTTAGACGACAGAACTGAGTTGGTAGTTCTGTCTGATCTGCTGCCATATTGAAATCGTGTATCAGTGACAAACAACAATCCTGAGAATGCTTAGCTTTCCCCAACACTTTAAAGCTAAATTATCCATTACATTCTACAGCCTCACAATCCTCGTCTGTCCAAAGCTAGAGTTGAAGGTTAAAATAAGAGTTACCACCTTGCCTTAATTTACAACTGACAAAAACCTTCAAAACACTAAGTCATTACTGTACAAATACAATAACCAACACTGTACAATGTCTCAATTTCTACTGCAATACAATCGTTTTTTCTTCAATCACACGTTTCCAAGCGCGGAACAAAGCACTGCCAAGAAACTTGGGGCGAGAAACCAGAAAATGGAGGATGAAGCTATTTTTAAAGCACCAGCATCTGTTGTGGACACCTTTTTACACAGGATTGTGAACATGGTGCATGAAATGACATGGAAAGTGTATGCTAAAATGTTTAAGTTCCTCCATTCTGTTATCAGATCATATGGAAATGTAATCTGAAGGTAGCAAGCACTCGGTAAGCACCAGAGATCTACGCTAAATGAGGTCCAACCCAAATATAGGTTCAACAGTCCACTGAGTGCAGCTCCATCAACACCAGGATGATTTAGGAATAAAGTCTCCCTCATAAAAAGCTCAACACATATTCTTCCTCCTTCCAAAAAAGACGTTCATGTTTGTGATGAAGCGCATGTAATGAGGCGAAATTACTTTAAATAGGCAATGAAATTAGAAGGAAAGCCACATCAAATGAAGCGGCTCCACATCAACGTGTTGAAAAAGACGACTGAAAGTTGCTGCCAGTGTGAAGGAAGGACGACATCTGCCCCCTGTCAGGTCTCTGTTTGTGAAGCAACAATTACTTTTCATTCCTTAAATGTCTCTCGTTTCTGTTGCTGCACATTGGATGTCAGAACTTGTCAAAAGTGACAAGCGTGGGCACTCTAAACTCGAAGATCTCTACGGTGGAATTAACATATTCCAAAGACGCTGCCGAGGGCTTGACGGGAGCAGGCCGGAGTGGCATTCGGGGTCAAGGAGCGGCCCTTCTATGTAGCGTTTAAATGTGTGCGTATGTGCGAAAGAGAGATCAGTGCTTCATTGCTTTTTAAAGGCGAGTCTGAATGTTTCTAAACTATTTCCACATACACAAGTTTGCAAGGACATCTCGCTGAAGCTTTCCTCATCCTCGCAGTTCACATTAAGTGTCTTATTGAAGAAAATCTTACTAGTATCGTGCTCAGAACAGTTAAAAGATTCACAAGACACAATCGGTGTTTCTTCTCAAGGTCTTCTGTACAAAGAGGAGTGAAGCGTGATGTTCACAGTGCTGTGATGTCAAATGGTGTTGATTCTTGTCCTTACTTCACTTGGATCGATAAGATATCCACTTTTAAAGTCCACAATCTCGGACATCCGCAGCGATCTACTGCCTTTCTGGATGCGGATCAAAAAGGGGAAGGTACCGGCCCATTCTCCTGTAGGGCTGATGAACTTCAGTGCTGGTAGAGAGATAAAACAGAGTCATTTTGCAGCAAGACGCTTCCATGTGGCAAGAATGCTCCCAATCTCCTCCTCGGTGGAAGCAGAACTGGTTGGAAGTTGAGGTGAGGCGCTATACCTGAACCTGTGTCCCATGGTGTGCCTGAAGACACTGGATACTAGACAAGATCTTTTTCTGATGGCCTGTCATTGCTACGCCCATCTTATCCAGTTCACTGTGAGAGAAAGGAAAGTGACAGAAGAAAATGCTTTAGCAAATGGTGGTTATGTTTACAGTAGCATACCACTCGTACTATTTTTACAGTATTCAGTGTGTTAACTATGTACAGTGTGCAGATGTTTAGAGCACACATATGGTATCGAACAATGCAATGCATTCCATTATTGTTTGACACCATATTTGATTAAACTGACAAAAATTACAGTACTTTTACACAAAACTTACAAGCAATAACTTCCAAGTATTGCATACTGTTTTACATACTTTTTACAAAGTAGTAGGCAGTGCATTATATGCAGTAAATAGCATTCAATTTTGCAACATAGCTGGTATATTTGGAATGCTATACTACTCATACTATTTTTACAGTATGTTTTATGTTAATTGTATACAGTTAGCAGGTTTTCTGTATGCATGGAAGCACAGCACACATTGAATCCCATAATGCAATGCACTCAACTTCCATTTACAGTGATGAATCATAACTAAAGATATTTTTTACTTTTTTTGACAATATTTGAATAAAGTGCCAAAAGTTACAACATTTCGACACAAAACTGAATTGAAATGGATAATAATTTAAGTTGAACTCATAATGAGGTCATGTGACATTTAAGCATACTACTGTTGCATACTAATGCCTGTGGAATATTGTACTCCCATAATGCAATGAGAAATGCAAATGAAACATCTTTGTGGACTCATTTTGATTTGCAAAATAATTCTTACAAATATTTGGATGAAAACCCAAAACAATCATGTTTATTTTCGATAATATAACTGGATGACGTTTGCTGAATTAAACATGCCAAGTAATGAGGTCACGTCATAACAATATTGTTTACACCGTTTAACACTGTATATTTTATATGGTTTTGAATACTTTTTTAAAAATAGTAGGCAGTGTACAATGCATTCAAGTATTCGGTTTCCAACATGATATGGTATGTTTGGAATGCCATACTGCTTTTTGGAGCTTTATACAGTGCAGTTTGTAAACTCTCAGTTTGATTCTTAGTATGCAGTAAGATAATATACCATTGAGAAGTGTCTTTTGAATTAGTGTAGCTTTTATTTACCTGGTGCTGACGTACAGAACTGAGTCCAGGGTGACGTAGCCGGCGCTGGAAAAGTGTTCCTTGTACCGACCCATTTTAATCAAGTCCAGCCAGTCTTCCACCGTGCTGACTCCCGCCTCAGGAGTCACTGGGTCCTCCCTATGATTGGAAGAGGAAGTGCAGTCAGAATAACGGTCTTTTATAACCATGTCATTTCACATCTACAGTAGTATTGCATATGCCAGAATTGTCATGAAGAAAGCATTCTGCACTGGTCTGTGAGGATGTCAGATTTATGTATCCGTTTGATGTTGTGTTTTTGGTAAATTTCCATTTAGATTTATGCAGTTTTCTCATACTTTCAATGTAAGTGTTTCAATGATGCGAGCACTTACAAACACAGTTTTGTAATGGGAAAGAAACCAGCTTTTTTTCATGCATTCGAGTGTGTGTGTTTGTGTCAGCTTATCAAAAGCTTATCCTTGCCTGGACACGTTAGGCTTTCCAAATCCAGAAGGGAGGCGGATTGCCCCAAATCATGTCTCTGTCACTCTCTCTCTCTCTGTTGCATAGCCTCCATTATAACACACAATCCTGAGGAATTTAGATTTAAACCTATTTTATTTAATAGCAAGGGCACTAGGCGGAGTTTTCCCAGTGGTTTGTGAGAAAATTTAGTTTGCGCATTCTGCTTTAACTGTGGCAAGCACTGGCTAAACAATCCAGCGCCCATCTGCCTCCTATTTGGCAACCCTCAAAATGCGGCAGAGGGATAGACAGGCAATCAGATATCAGCCAAGACCACCGCAAACCCCCCTCCTGACTGAGAGAAACATGCACTGGAAGGAAGAGGTTCGTACTGATGTACATCTGGCTTCAATCTAGATTAGCCGGATATCGGTTTCGTTTATTTTGAATTTATTGGATTACTGCAAAAAACACCTCAGACTTTAATCACACACCTGAGAAACATCATAACACACTTCATGAGCTATATATTGCAAACCGCCACACACATCCCAGCGGATCACCTCTATTGAATTCAGATCTAATCTGCGGAGGGCATTTGGCTCACCAGTCTGCAGTGTTGGCCAGCTGCTTCATGCTGCTTGGGTTCCGGATCAGCCTGTCCAGGGTACTGACAATCTGCCCGAATTTTGGCCGATCGCTGCGGTTCTTTTCCCAGCAGTCTAGCATGAGCTGGTGAAGCACCACCGGACAGTCCATTGGAGCCGGTAGCCTGTAGCCTTCATCTATAGCTTTTATCACCTGGAGGGAAGAAGATTCCGCATTAAAAATCATACATTAGCAGCGTCTACGCTTCATGAATACTGAGCAGATTTATTTTCTCGCTGAAGCATTTAGCTTTTGTGTGGGGTTAGATTAATTCATTTTTTTATCCATCTGTGACTGAAGTGAGAATGAGATTTCGGGTCAGACCGTCTTTGTTAGCGCAAGAGGGGAGCTGTTTAATTTAGTCCCTTTTATGAAATGATACCGCCGTAAGAAAAGGAATAAACTAGCTTGATGCAAACATTCATATTATCTTAACTCTTGCCTGGAAGACTGTAACCGTCGAAACGCTCATGAAGACAGATGGATTTTGTGGTTTACGCCTTGAATGGAACTTTCGAATTCCGCTCTCGACACAATAAAAGTTCATCCGCTAACAATCATGCAAACGTTTTTGCATTCAACTTTAAAATGTTGAGTATACAGGCTCGAATCATTCCCAAATGTCTTAATCTCTTTCCCGAGCAGCCTCTTTCCAAATCCCAAGCAAAGATCTCTTCCCAAGGTGATAATAAATAAATGAAAATGGTTTCTGGTGTGGAAAATCTGCCAAGAACCCACTGACACGGATTCAAATTCCCTCTTTTAAAAAGGCCTGTGAATTGAAATCTGAAAATGTTCACCCTCCAGATGCATTTAATCTTTTTACCTTTGTAAGCCTGGGAGTTTTTTTTTTTTTAATTCCAGTCCCAGTGAAGTGTTCTGGCAGAGGTCTTTTATTACAAATCGATGAGGATTCACAAGTTTAAAAAATAAAGTGGCCAGTGGCAATGGTTAACAGAGTTGTTACTGTTAACTAAAACTAAAACTATTAATTGAAAATAAAGCCTAAATAAAATAAAATATAAATATTAGACGAAAACATCTTAGAAATACTGCTTTGGCAACTAACTGAAATTAAATCGGCTGAAGTACTAAAATTAATAAAACTGAAATAAAAATAAAGCTAAATAGAATTACTATAAAAAACTAATAAACACAAGGACTAAAACTTAAACTGAAATGAAAACTGAAAATATTAAAATAAAAGCTAATTCAAAATATTAATAAATACTATAATAGCACATATATAATAAAATAACACTAATGGTTATACCATTCTTAATTCTTAAAACTTCAATTTTCTGTTTACTGTGAGATCTTTGTGCAGTGAAACTATGGTAACATTATATTCAGAATTTACTCACGTCCTGATTGGACATTTCCCAGTACGGTCGTTCCCCATAGGATATCACCTCCCATATGACAATGCCGTAACTCCACACATCACTGGCTGATGTGAACTTCCTGTAGGTGATGGCCTCAGGGGCTGTCCATCGAATGGGAATCTTACCCCCCTAAAAAACAGCAAAAAAAAAATCAGTGATTAGCAATGTTGTGAAGCAGCATCACTACAAAGCTATTAGCAAGCTATTAGGTGATCACCATCAACATGCTAGCACTGCTATTTTTAAAATCATGCAGCTTTACAGTAGTGAAGCTATTTTATTATCTTAAGTTGTGGAATAGCTTAATAGCAAGCTATTTTTGAAATGTACAGTAGGTTGTAGCTACTTTTGCTAAAGGGGAGCATTTAGCTCAGCTTGGCTAACTGGGAGCTTAGCTAGCTACATTTTTTGAGTACCTTGCCCAAAACTAGTGATTAGCGGTAAGCAGTTTTTATCAACATGAATCACATGAATGTTTGGACAATTAAGGAGGAGACAAACCACTTGTTGAAACATAACTGGGTGTAATTGCAAAACTCAACAAGGCGGCTGTGGTAAAGGAAGTCCTTCCTTTCAATTAAAAAAGCCATTTCTTGGTATTTTTGCTCCAGAATGCTGGTCCAACCTTTATTTTTCATTTCTTTCAGCAAAACCATGTACAAATGCATTCACAGGCAGGGAAAGGCACACACCCACATTGAGTAGATGTTTAGCCATCCATCAGTCTGGATAGCTGTTATGACAGTCCTGTGTGACCTCATTTCCAGACTACAGGTCAGCAAGAATATATCTTGCTGTGTCTGATTTTTTTTCCCTACACAATCAAATCATATTTCTTTTAAACAAAAAGCTGAACCAGCTTAACAGATCACAACAAAACTGTTGCATAGTAAATCTAGTTAAAATGAGACTGGAGACCAAACATCCAGAGTAGAAGCATGACCTCTCACCCGTGTAGTATACTCCGCCTCGGGATCGTCCTCTAACACGCGCGACAGCCCGAAGTCAGACACTTTACACACCAGGTTTCCGTTCACCAGAATGTTCCGTGCCGCCAAATCCCGGTGCACATAGTTCATCTCTGAGAGGTACTGCATCCCCGTGGCTATCCCACGCATCATTCCCACCAGCTGGATCACCGTGAACTGCCCATCGTGTTTCTGCACAAAATGAAGAGTTCTCATGTCAAATTCTCATCCCTGTGGCCTTGTTCAACCTCTGTGGATCCTGGCACAGTCGGTCATGTTCGAATGTGTCTCGTGAGTAATTCATAATTCATTGGCTCCCTAATTAATAGCGTTGCTCACATGTTACAGGGCATGAGCTATTAACTGCAATCACTGTATAATCATTCAGGCTTTTATGCAACCAATGGCAAGTAACCAACCAACTAACCAAATTATGATGTTATATACCCTGTGGCAAGAAAACGTAATGTTTTGATTGTTAACTATGTTTGCATGGTAATATTGGGGTAATAATGGGATGCTGGTTTGTTAGAGCAGGGGTTTCCAATTAATACATATCTGATATATTATGTATGTTAATATGTATGTTTATTATGTGTATGTGTGTATATATAATTAGATTAGATTAATACTTTAAGATATGTATAAAATTCGACATTATTATGGCTTCATTTTGCTTCTAAAAGATGGGTCAGAAATCATGGGACTATTTATGATTTTTTTATTCAAAATATAATTAAATGGCCGTTTTTATTAGTTTTTAAATATTTTTTTGTAGTTTTTAATAAAGGAAAGGGGCAATAATGTCTGTAAAATCACTTTGTATAATCAATTTACTGTGAAAAGTGCTATAAATAATAAATTTAAATTTAAAATATTCTCTTCAAATTATAATAGGTAGAAGACACTGTCAATATAATAGAAAGTAAATATTTTCAGGATAATATTTCAATATTTTGCTTTGACTTTAGTATAATAATGTAAAAAAAATTGAAATAACAAATCTTTATAATACCACTCTTACTATTTTTCTCACACAGTACAAATGATTTGCATATCCGCTATACAGTAATTTGGCATCAATAAGCCTGAAAAACCTTGTGGCTAGTGTCTCCATAAAGCTTCTAAACTAGCTTGACCAGCAAGTCAACCAGCGTTATCAGAAAGACCATGCTGGTAGACTATCTCCACCAGATAAGATTTGCTCGTGAACATAATGATCCAAACCAGCATAAACCATGGTGGGCTGAGCTGGGAAACAAAACACAAGCTGAGGGACACAAAGACAAACCAGGCATAGAGAGGTGTGAACATGTGAGTTGTGGAGCCCAATCTGGAAGAGCCGGATGACTGCTTTGTGTTCCTGTGATATTTCACAGCATTTCCTTTGGTGCAAATTGGCCTCCATCATTCGTCGCAAAATAGAGCACGCTCACCTTCAAAAAAGTGTCCAGAGATCCATTTTCCATGTACTCTGTCACAATCATCACAGGCTTACCTAAGGGATGGAGAAAGAGGAGACAAAATGGGAAGTGTGAAATATTGCGGGAAAATATATATATATATATATATAGAGAGAGAGAGAGAGAGAGAGAGAAAGCAGACGCAAGAGAAAGACGTTTAATTTTTTTCACAGGCGAATAAGAAAAGACACAGCAGAGAGGCAGGAAGAGGCTGGCGCTTTTGTGTCCTATATTTAATTCATTTCCAAGTTGACAGAGAAAAACACGCAGATAAAGAGAGCGGACACCTCCCCCACTCCCCGCGACTTCACAGAACCTTGTTGCTGTTTTCGTTCGCCTCTACCTGCTGCCTGTTACTCATAGAGACAGCCCCTAATCAAAGCTCTCAATAACAGTCAGGCAGATAATTAGAGTGAGCTGTCCACTGAGAATATCTTTGTCCAGAAATACCTAAAATGGTAATGAGTTCCTTTAGGAGGGAGGATGATGAAGGGGGGAGACAAGTGAGGGGGGTTGAAGATGAAGGGTTGTAAAGATCTGCTAATGGGAAAAGTGTTCAACTCTTTGCTATGTTGCAGACACAGCTGCAAGAGGCTCATATGGGGAGCTCGCACCTGCGTTACTGAAAGTAATTAAAAATTCTCCCTTGATTCCACCCAAATAACACGCTGTCAATCAGAGAGACCCCCTTCTCACCTCGCATGTGACAGGGAAGAGCACATGCTAATCCATCCCGATTATCAGAGATGCTTGATGGATGTAATGTACAGCAGAAATGTTCACCTCGTGGCACCAGACGCAGATGCCGTTTAGCCCTAGAGATGTTAACCATTTCTATGAGCAGCCCTTTATTTTGTAGCCTGTAGCCTAGCCTTACAGGCTATAGGTTTGAATGCTGCAAGGTGATCCTTGAGGTATCACTATTGTGACATTGAGGAAACAACGTAAACGCAGTTTACTCCATGGGGACTGTTTATGTAAATTATTAGTGTAATTTTTAAAATAATAAAATAAAATAAACTGGTCCAGTTAATATGCATTTTCTAGAGAAAACAAAATCAACCAACCAAACAAACAAATAATATGAACATTTGTTTCTATTTTATGATTTGATTAGGGATGTCAAAAAGTGATATTTTTTTCTTATTTATTTAATACATTATGGCCCGGTTTCACAGACGGGGCTTAGACTAAGCCAGGATTAGATCATAGTTCAATTAAGACATTTAAGCAATTTTCATAAACGTTCTTAGAAAAAAACATTACTGGTGTGCATCTTGAGACAAAACAAAGGCACTGATATATTTTAAGATCAGTCAGTGCAAGTTTCTTTCAGTTAAAACAGCTCAGACTTACATTTTAGTCTAGGACTAGGCTTAAACCTGGTCTCTGAAACCGGGGGAAAGTGTAATATATTATTATTATTATTATATTGTTCCTGTAAATTAATAGGTTATTGTTTTTATATTTTTATTTATTTTCATTCATTTTATTTTTAGATTAAAATAATATAAATTAAACTGAATGAAAAAGAAATTAACAGAAGATAGGCTGGTCCAATTAATATGCATGCATTTTCTAGGGATAACTAAATAACTAACTAAATAACTTTTTTTTTTTCATTTGATTAATTGATTAGTGATGTTTTTTCATATTTATTTTATTATGCTACATATATTATTATTATTATTATATATTATATTATTATTATAAAATACCACAGCCATATCACCCTGCAGCCCAAGACTGGTTGCTCACTGAAGTTTGGTGAAAATTGTGGTGTAAGAAAATACTGACACATACATAATTGCTGATTTACATTTACATTTACTGATTTTCTGACCAACATTCCTTTCACCCACACAAACACAACAAAAAATGGCGGCTACCCCTCCTTCCCCATCCACTTTCATAGAAATGGAGTAACCTCCAGACATCTCAACTCCAGTATGGCCACCAGTAGTGCGACCTAAGCACCGTCTTTCGGATGAGACGTTAAACCGAGGTCCTGACTCTCTGTGGTCATTAAAAATCCTATGGCACTTCTCGTAAAGTGTAGGGGTGTAATCCCGGTGTCCTGGCCAAAACTGCCCCCCTGGCCTTTGTCAATCATGGCCTCCTAATAATCCCCATCCACTTGATTGGCTCTATGACTCTCTCTCCTATCCACTTGTAGCTGGTTTGTGGTGAGCGCACTGGCGCCGTTGTCCTGTGGCTGCCGTCGCATCATCCAAGTGGATGCTGCACACTGGTGGTGGTTGAGGAGAGACCCCCCATATGATTGTAAAGTGCTTTGGGTGTACAAAAATACACAATAAAGCGCTATATAAATCCATCATTCATTCAAAATATATTATTATAATATATTGTCCTTGTAAAATTAATATTTTAATTTTAGTATTTTTTTATTTTCATTCGTTTTATTTTTAAATTAAAATAATTAAATTCAGTTAAATAAAATAAATTCTAAAGTGTTTTTGAAAAATCACTTACTCTGCCTTTAAAGAAAATGAATTTAGGATGGTCCATTTAATAATTAGAATTAATTTTATAGAAATAAACAGAAAGTAATGAACATTTTTTCCCTTTGACTAATTGATTAGCGAGTTTTTTTGTTTGTTTGTTATATTTCATATAGTATAATATATTTTTTGTACTTAATTATGTTGTGCTTCAGCTGTTGAACAGTTTGCATGGAAACCATTTAAAAAGTTGCATCATTAAAGCACCATTTCTACTGCAATATGAACGCAGGCGGACATCACTGGCCTCTGCATTGTGACTTTTGCACATCTCTAGCTGCAATACAAGAAGTAAAAAGAAAATGTTAGCAGAAGATCTTGAGGACAAAGATAAGACATCTGCCCTGTCAATTTCAAAATTTAAGCCTGCATACTGGAGATTTGCGAGTGAGGCTATAAGCAAAGAGTCAATGGTTTCATTATGGTTTTGTAATCTTTACTTCAGCAAAGCACAAAGAAATAGAAACCCAATTGAATCCAATAATACCCCATTCAACCCTAACAAGCTATTTATAGCACCAAGCCCTAAGACGTTGCCATTTGTGGTTTCAGATGAATGGGGGTTGCACTGTATGTCCTAGCTGTCACTGTAAGTAAATCACAAATGTATCGGTCACATCATTTAGAATCGAAGCCTCACGACAAGCGTGGCGAAGGATATCCGAAAGGATCACGCATTAGCTTATCAGCGTGGGACAAATTACTTTGACACTGAGCTAGCTGGATGACGTGGCCTCCTTGCCTCAACCTACATTTGTTTGGCCACCAGAACTGAAATATAGAGCGCATTCAAAAATAAACCGCAACATCTCCCTGACATTGCTGTTGTATGTATCAGATCAAACGGATTTGCATTTCTGCACTCTAGCCGTTGAGCTAGAGTATGGCTGACGGTTGTTAATGAAATTACCTAGCTACTTATCCATGCGTGCACATTTAAGGGTGATTGATGCTGCAGCAATTTTAGGAGCGCTTTAGACAGTATTCACACACACTCAAACCAGTGTTGCCAGATTGGGCGGTTTTGAATTGGATTGTGTGGGTAAAAAATAGTTTGGGTGGGTGGACAAAATTTGGGCTGGTTTGGGGTCAGGTTAGTCTCAGCCTCAAATATCACGCCTACGGACCGTTGGCTGAACATCTGATGCATACGGCACACAAAATTGGAAACACTTCGGGAGTTTCGAAGTTGTCATCGGATTGGTTGAATTATACAGGATTTCCAGGAGACGTGCGTGTCGCATTCTTTAATGTTCCACCTGGAAACAAATTTGCCGTGACGCCAAACCCCCTCATGTTAGAAGCAAGCCGTCGTGTTTACAATTGTGATAATGAGCGCTTATCAGGATCAACTAAACGCTGGATGTTCAAAAGTATGTGAAATACTTAAAGTTTGCGTCATAGAATCTTTAAAATACGCCCAAGAGTTTTACACGGTCTGTTATTGTGGGGACATTTCCACGCCCCTAAACATGACACAGCACAAAACGAAACGTGATTGGTTGCTTTATCTGTCAGTCATATGGCCTCTTGGGCGGGCCTTGCCATTCAAAGCGGCCAAGGTTCCCAGACTTTCTGCCGCGAGTCTGAAGGTCTGGCTACGTGAGACTAGGGTCAGTTTGGTGGTTTTCAAACATCTAAACTGTATAGGCTAATTGATAAAAAAACAAAACCCAAGCGTGCATGTACGGCATCCAATCAGTCAACATGGTGCTAATACTTGTATTGCCCGCCACACTTTTAGCCAATCACGAAGGATCAGTAGACAGACATGATGATTCATAAGTGATGGTTTTTAGCGCGATAAGGGATCCGATTTTGAATATATAGCTGTATATTCAAGCGATCACAATGCCAGAGTTGCCTAAATATAAGTTACACGGTAAAGAGTAGGACAGTGACTCGACTCTCACAACCTGAATTACACCTGTGGAGGGAGATGATGCGAAGGCTCTTAGTTGATATCAATGTAACTGAAATCAGAGCACAGTTAAACAATTTAATCAAAATCTAAACTGAATATGGGACTATACGATCCTGTCCTGCATTAGAAAGCTGGTGGACCTGATTAGTTTTGACTGTGCAAAGTTCTGTATTATGTTCAACAATGCACTTCACGAAAGACATGCTATAGTTGTCTGAAGTTTTGTCATCTTTGTTTTGTTTTAAGGAGTTAAAATTGGTCCTTATCAACCTTGATTGACATGACAATAAAATTCTATCACATTTTGACAGTTAAAGTTTTGAGCAGTTTTTTGTTGGATTGGGCAGGTTTTGGTGAGCTTTTGGGCTGGAAATCCTCCACCCGATCTGGCAACACTGACTCAAACGTCCATTGCGTCCCACGGTGAGCCGATCTACTCTAAATGTCTTAACACTGTGGAAAGGCCGTAATTATGGTCATTATCACAGGAGCAAGGAATCCATACATGCATTTAAGGGAATCTGAAAAAGGCGATATACATTAAAAGACCTGCAAATTCAGTATGTACTATGTACATCATCTGTAATCACATGCTTTGGAGGTATTTGATGAAATGACAGCAATTTGTTATGAAATATCAGAGGATAAAGGAATTTTAGGGCTCTAAACAAGTAAAGCTCTAGCTTAAAAGCACACATTACTCTGAACAAAGCAATACTTTCAATGATTTAGAAAATACATCCTCTTATCTACTGTTCCCACTGTTGATGGCACAAAGAAAAACTTTTCTTGAGGACTCAGCTGGAATGAACCTGAAAATACAGCCGAGGATGGTGAACGTTATCAGATAGCACACTGCAGATCGCTAATCTGATGGTTAGATGCAAAATGGGTTTATAATAGAGACGATGACAGCTCTGTGTTTTTGTAAAGATGGGGATAAAGAACTGAATGGGGCATTAAGGTCTATTCTGATTCCATTCTCTGAGCTGCTGACACATTTGCATTACAAAAAGCTCAATCACGGTCTAATTTTTTGCCGTCTGAGGTGGTAATGATAGAGCGCCTCTCTGAAAGCTGTGTTATGTGACAGATGCTTTTCATATTACAGCGCAAAACTCTTTGTCTTTCTCGCCGGCGCTCCATCAGGCAGCATAAACACTCTTCAGCCTCTTTAATGCATCTCTGCTCAGCTCCATCAGCGCTGTGATTAGTCTGTGCGTGTGAGGAGGGGGCTGGATTGACAGCTGCTTCAGTAATGCAGTGCTGAAGGGTCGCTGACCTCTCCTATCCCCATTCCCTACACCATCAGGCTGATCTGTGACCTGTGAAATTACTCCGGCTATCATATCTCACCCAATCAG